GAATATATATGTTTTACAACCCCAATTCCTAAAAGGTTGTGACATTGCATAAAAGTAAATTAAAAACACAATGCAATGATTTGCATATTTTATTCTCAAGGGAGCAAAGATATCAAATGTTTTAACCAAGAAATGTTTAGGAAAATGAAGGGAAATTTTAGATTTGATGTCAGCAGGATTTTTAGTCTTGTGGTTTGTTGAAATAAACCTTTACAAACCTAAGTTATACTGCCATATTCTTTTAAGAGAAAAAATGATTTCTCCAACTTTTTCAAAAACACCAAAATATATAAATTTTAGACTCTGCTGAGTCTAAGGAGCTCATAGAATTTTTTTGCATTTTCTCCGAGCATTGTACAGTCTAACCTTGAGGGTGATTTATTTTTTGGGGACTACTGGAAGACTAGGAACAATTTTAAATGTTTTTCATTTGTGATTAATCATTCTCCCTATCCAAAACATGAAATCTAAGTTGTTTGAAATTATTCTGAATCCCTGCCCAGAGTGATGATTTCTAAAGCAACGATTGCRTCTCTGAGGTCATTGCTAATGTTTTTTCTTTCTTGATATTGTGTCAACAAACACGTGCATGCACCGGAGCAGTAAAATGGGAAAAAAATGTAGTACCGACCTGACTTCTACTGACCTTCTTTTTAATTCTTTTAAGAGGATTAGAACAGAATATGGCTGTACTTTGTATTTTTGATTTAGGTTTTGTGAAATAAATAAGAAACATTATGTAACTTAATGTAACATTTGAGGTTTTCTTCATCTCATGTTCAGACCTGGTAAGAACCAGGGGCCTCATGTACAAAGACTTGCGTGAATTTCTTACTGAAACGTGGCATTTGGAAATATTAACTTAATGCATGAGTTTATTACCATAATTACTGTAAAGACAGAAGAACTCAGATGTTTGGTAGAACATAGTTCTTTGTTTATTTAATAGCTGATAATAAGAAACGAGTCTCTGCGCCTCAGTGGAGTTTTCATGATGTCACATTATGTGGGAGAGTCAGAGTCATGTGGATGAGACTATTCCATTGGGCATGACTCGGCTTTGGGTGGACTGGACTGGCACAGTCCCGATCGGTCTGCCAGCTCCCTCTGGAAAGCTCCTGTGGAACCCCAGTTTGATCGCTGCTTCTGCACGTGCACGCGTGGTGCACGGCTCCTAAGTGTGCGCTGCAGTGCCAAGCTAAAAAAGGATAATTCCTGAAAATGGCTGATGAGCCACTCGTCATTGTGGATCACAAAATTCTGTTTATAAATAAATGCTCTRTGTGTTACATTATTTATTATATCCTCCAGTAAGGCTGAATCCGTTCCTGTTAAATGTATTTTTGGCACAACTTTGTGCGTCATTTATCTAACTGCATCCCTGTGGATGTAATAATTGTTAATCATGTGGATGTAATAATTGTTAATCACGTGGATGTAATAATTGTTAGTCGTGGATGTAATAATTGTTAATCATGTGTGTCTGGTGTGAACAAAAATCATTTTCACATCATGAACAGTTCCTCAGAATCACCTCTGTGTCGCCAATGGAACCAAAACCACAGAAACGTGTGTACGCCAGTCCTGGAGTTGGCGTGGGGCTGCACACATTTCCACGTTCATTTCAGTTTTGATACATTCAGAGTTTTGCGTGGAAAATGRCGTACRCAAGGTTTTTGTGCGTAYGCACTGTTGAYACATGAGGCCCCAGGAGATTTCTGTAATTGTGTATGTTTTTATTAATATAGAATTGTTGTGTTTTCATCAACCTTACAACCTTACCATTTCTACTCACATACTGAGATAATGTTCCTTTCTTTCTTTGATGGACGATGTGGAAAATGTTTCTATCTAGAAGAATGCAGCGAGTTCACAGTTTTATCCTTTGTATTTTAATGTGACTCTACAAAAAAACGTTGATTGGGATTTGCCTTTTTATCCTCATGCTTACTCTGTTTTTATTTATTTATTTTTTTGTTYGTAGCTCTTCTATCTATCAGTGGAAGCGTATTTGGGCTCCGGTACTAAAGAGGCTCGTGGTCTTACACCTCAGATCTGTTCTCACTTCCTGGATCCAGATGCTGTATGTACTCATGTTAAAGTGAGAAGCTAGCAAGAAGAACTTGTTTATAGAAATGAAAGTCAGTCATTGATTATTTCTTTTTATTCAAGCTGGTGTTTTTGGTTATTGGATACAAATTTTTCACAACTTGACTGTTGAATTTTATTTAATTATTCTTTCTTTAAATTTCAGTGTCTAAAATGTGAAAACCTTTTTCTTCTAGCCTCTGAAAATCAAAGTCCGAGAGGAGTACCTCACAGACATCGGTAAAACACATGGAAGATACTTTAGTCACACCTTTTTTAAATTTAGTTTTGTTTGTATTTATTTGTTTTCTAGGTGTTTGACTTTTAAAAGAATGTGAATTACAAGTGATCAGTTTATTTTAGTGTATATTTGAACCTTTTTTTTTTGAATGTTGTGTTATTCATGTCTTTCAGAAAGTCGTCTTCATGCACAGGAGGACATCAGAGGACCTCTGTCTGAGCTGCAGCAGCAGGTGCTGCCAGACATCCAGGAGCTGATTCAGGACTACAGGTGCGATTATTAACAATGTTGGTTTGTTTATACAGTTGGTTGATATGAATACTGAAAGTTTTCTGTAAAAGATTCATCATGTTTGGCCTTGATTTTCCARTTTTCAACAGATGTCTGTGTTAAACTAACTCAGAAAGAAGTTTGAATTGAAGTGAACTGAGTGTAAAAGTGTTGGSTTAGCATCATATAATCAAAGCTGTTTAGCACCTCTAACCACAATTTTTAAAATGTATTTATGTGCAGGCCTTTGCTTTTCACTTGTTTAAAGCAGACAACTTAATTAATTAATTGCATTTAAAGTAACAAGCTATTCTAGTCTTTCAATTGGATTAATAATTCAAAGTTGACAATCCATATTGCACCTTAAAACAAAAAAAAAATGTGACAGTGTTTCTCCTGGCATTATCTAAGCCCTTTTTCTTTTGATTTGGATGGTTTCAAGTTTTTTACTTTAAGCAAGAGGAGAGCAGGAAATTTTGAGGGGTGGCACTTTATAGCAGAAAAATGTCTTTYGATCAGTGAAGAAATGTGTCCATCACAACTGAACCTTCACTTCCTACAAAACCTCACATACAACACACACTACAGGTTTGTATTTCAATTCAATTCAGTTTATTTATATAGTGCCAAGTCACAACATACGTTGTCTCGGGGCACCGTACATAAAGAAGTTCTAAAGAAGAACCCAGCAGATTGTGTTGAATCACTTCATCACAGTCTCCCATCC